ATAGACTGTTAAAATACATTTCGAGCATATCTGCGATATAATAGAATGCTCGATAGAATCCCTAACCTAGAATCATAGAGTTGGATGAGATTACAAGAGCCATCCAGTCCAACTCGGTGCCATACAGGAACACACAAGCAAAGCACTCTAGACAGATAGCCATCCAGACTCTGCTTTAAAACCTCCAGAGAAGGAGACCCTACCACGCATATTCCACCATTAAGCAGCTCTTACCAACAGTAAGTTCTTCGTAATGTTTAGGTGCAATCTTCTTTCGTGTTATTTGAATCCACTGCTCCTTTTTCTAAACTCCAGGGCAGCAGAAAACTCTCAGGTTTCTTTCCTCCAAGCTAATCATATCCAGCTCCCTAAACTATTCCTCATAGGGTTTGGTTTCCAAACTTTTGATCATTTCGGTTCCAGCTTGTCAATAACCTTCTTGAATTATGGCACCCAGAAGTAGACACAGTTTTCCAGGTGAAGTCTGACCAAAGCAGAATAGAATGGGACTTTCCTCGATCTAATTGACACTATACTCCTATTGATGCAAGCTAGACTCACATTAGCTTTTTTAGCTGCTGCATCACAATGTTGACTCATTTGCAGCTTGTAGTCTAATAAGACTCCTAGATCCTTTTCATGTGCACTGATTTCAAGCCAAGTGGTGCTCATTCTATATCTGTGCATTTCATTTTTGTTACCGAAGTGTACTACAGTGCATTTCCCCCTTGCTGAAATTCATTTACTTAGTTTTGGCTCCTCTCTCTAATCTCTTTTGGATTCTGATCCTGTCCTCTGGGGTATTAGTTATCGCTCCCAATTTTGTGTCATCTGCAAATTTGATGTGTGCCTTCTATCCATTTCATCGAGTTAAGTGTCTCAATGGTGGTATAAAAATATGGAAGACTACGCAAAAAAAAAAGAGAGGCCTTTTAATTTGCTAAATTGTCAACATTGATGTTTGTGTACAAATATTTTTTCCAAGCAAAACAGTAATGAGTGCTTCTTGAAGCCATATGATTGCATCCACTCCATCTCTAGCTTTATTGAGGGTAGTGATGTGTCAGAAATTGCAAACAAATGATACCATGAAAGTGTAATTATGCGTAGCAGTCATGGCTGATGCAAATTGATCTGCATTGTGTTCATGCAAATTTCTAACTGATTACCCACCCACCTCCATGTAGCAGAACATCTGCAAACTTAACTGCCATCCTTTGATTTATCCTCCTTTTTCACTGGCTCCCTGGATTTGACTATTTGTCTGCCTTCAGTTAATTATGGTGTCCACAATGAGGTTTTGATCCTACAAATTAATGCATTGTCTCAGCATTTTATGGTATGTCATAGCAGTGGTGTAGGATTATGCTGGCCTTATGCAAAACATCTGGCCTGGCATCAGATTCTACGTGTTCCTTGAATATGGAAAGAATCTGCTGCCATCTATCAGCAACAACAGGACAATGCATCTTGATCTCAAAAAAAAAAAATATTCAATGGGCACTCAAGCTTAGTTCTTTATAGTCCTTCAATTGCTGGCTTGTGCCCGTAGGTCTGAAGAAGCTTGCAGGTCTGAATCTGGGGAGAGTGTGGATGAGCTCCCTCTGTCAGCTCCGGCTCCCCATGCGGGGACATGAGACAAGCCTCCCACAAGGATGGTGAAACATAAAAAAATCTGGGCATCTCCTGAGCAACGTCCTTGCAGACGGCCAATTCTCTTATACCAGAAGCAACTTGCAATTTCTCAAGTCACCACTGACACGAAAAAAAACCCTGTCTACTTTTAAGTTATGTAAATAATCTGTGGTCCTTATTTGTGTTTTCTTAATGTGTAACTGTAAACCTGCCTTTGTACTTTTTTCCTTTACTTTCTTCAGTCATTTTTCTACGTGTTTGTTGTTTTCTGCTAGTAGTATGGTGCCTATCTTAAATTGCTGATGTTCCTTCCTCCATTTCTTACATCCGCATAGTTAAAGCAATAGTATTCCCTTTAGCAACCTATGGATGTGAGAGCTGGACTCAGAGGAAGGCTGAGTGAAAGAGGATAGAGGCTTTTGAACTGTGGTGTTGGAGGAAAATTCCGAGAGTGCCTTGGACTGCAAGATGATTTAACCAGTCCATACTCCAGGAAATAAAGCCTGACTGCTTACTGGAGAGAAGGATGTTAGAGGTATTTTGGCCATATAATGAGAAGACAGGAAAGCTTGGAGAAGACAATGATGCTGGGGAAAATGGAAGGAAAAAGGAAGAGAGGCCGACCAAGGGCAAGATGGATGGATGGTATCCTTGAAGTGACTGGCTTGACTTTGAAGGAGCTGGGGGTGGCCATGGCTGACAGGGAGCTCTGGTGTGGGCTGGTCCATGAGGTCACGAAGAGTCTGAAGTGACTGAACAAAGAAAAAACATTACACTATGTAACAAAAATTGAAGCATTTTCTGTTCCTTGTTTGCAAATGTTATTTCCCGTTTAATTGTGTGATGCTTACTTTGAATGCACTGTTATACTCCAGAAACTTCTTTTTCGTGGCTGTCACAAACTATATTGAATTGGTTGAGACTGTTAGATATTTCTTGAAAAACTACAGCAAAATGTGTTGCAGGATGTCCCGCAAAACCATTTTTTTCGGTTTAATAAACCATTTCCATGTTTTTATGATAGGACCAATTAGGAAATGACATTTTCAGTATAACTCAGGAACAAAAATTATGTTACAGAAATATTAAAAATTAACTGGGTATTTTTTATTACAAAAATGTGAGTCAAGCACTGCAAGAGTTAGTAGGCCAAAGCCTTTTAGAGGAAAGGCGTACGGCAGGGTTGTATACTCTCACCCAACCTATTCAACTTGTATGCAGAACACATCATGCAATGTACGGGGCTTGACAAATCCAAGGCTGGGGTTAAAATTGCTGGAAGAAACATTAACAACCTTAGATATGCAGATGATACTACTTTGACGCCAAAAGCGAGGAAGAGCTGAGGAGCCTTGTAATCAAGGTGAAAAAAGAAAGCGCAAAAGCTGGGTTGCAGCTAAACATAAAAAAAACCCCAAGATTATGGCAACAAGCATGATTGACAACTGGGAAATAGAGGGAGAAAATGTGGAGGCAGTGACAGACTTTGTATTTCTAGGTGCAAAGATTACTGCAGATGCAGACTGTGGCCAGGAAATCAGAAGACGCTTACTTCTTGGGAAGAGAGCAATGTCCAATCTCAATAAAATAGTGAAGAGTAGACAGGGCGGCTTAATCCATTACGCAAAGTAAGCATTTGCAGTATAGTTGATTTTGCCCAGGGGCGCTCTTGAGGGAAAAATAGACCTTGACATATGCGAGTTGTAGTTACTGGGATGTATAGTTCACCTACAATCAAAGAGCATTCTGAACTCCACCAATGATGGAATTGAACCAAATATGGCACACAGAACTCCCACGATGAACAGAAAATATATATCAGTGATTGGGTTGGGGCGCCAAAATACTGTTTGCTTACCATTGAAAATTACCTAGGGCCGCCTCTGAGAGTAGAAACATCACACTGGCAACGAAGATCAGCATAATTTTTTTTTGTCATGTCAGGAGCGACTTGAGAAACTGCAAGTCGCTTCTGGTATGAGAGAATTGGCCGTCTGCAAGGACGTTGCCCAGGGGACGCCCAGATGATTTGATTTTTTAAATCATCCTTGTGGGAGGCTTCTCTCATGTCCCTGTATGAGGAGCTGGAGCTGATAGAGGGAGCTCATCCGGCTCTCCCCGGATTCGAACCTGCGACCTGTTGGTCTTCAGTGCAGACGGCAAAGGGGTTTAACCCACTGCGCCAATGGGGGCTCCATCCGCATAATTAAAGCAATGGTATTCCCCATAGTCACCTATGGATATGAGAGCTGGACCATAGGGAAGGCTAAGCGAAGGAAGATAGACGCTTTTGAACTGTGGTGTTGGAGGAAAGTTCTGAGAGTGCCTTGGACAGCGAGAAGATCCAACCAGTCCATACTTCAGGAAATAAAGCCCGACTGCTCATTGGAGGGAAGGATATTGGAGGCAAAGATGAAGTACTTTGGCCAAATTGTGAGAAGAAAGGAAAGCTTAGAGAAGAGTATGATGCTGGGGGAAATGGAAGGAAAAAGGAAGAGGGGCCGACCAAGGGCAAGATGGATGGATGGCATCCTTGAAGTGACTGGACTGACCTTGAAGGAGCTGGGGGTGGTGACGGCCAACAGGGAGCTCTGGTGTGGGCTGGTCCATGAGGTCACGAAGAGTTGGAGACGACTGAACGAATGAACAACAACACAAGGGTACAGGGAGCACACCACTCCGCTGTTACCCACATAATGAGAAGAAAGGAAAGTTTGGAGAAGACAATTAAGCTGGGGAAAATGGAAGGAAAAAGGAAGAGGGGCCGACCAAGGGCAAGATGGATGGGTGGCATCCTTGAAGTGACTGGCTTGACCTTGAAGGAGCTGGGGGTGGTGACGGCTGACAGGCATGGGCTGGTCCATGAGATCACGAAGAGTTGGAAACGACTGAACGAATGAACAACAACAACAACAAGCTCACTGGAGGGAAGAATAGTAGAGGCCAAGATGAAGTACTTTGGCCACATCATGAGAAGAAAGGAAAGCTTAGAGAAGACAATGATGCTGGGGGAAATGGAAGGAAAAAGGAAGAGGGGCCGACCAAGGGCAAGATGGATGGATGGTATCCTTGAAGTGACTGGATTGACCTTGAAGGAGCTGGGGGTGGTGACGGCCGACAGGGAGCTCTGGCGTGGGCTGGTCCATGAGGTCACGAATGAACAACAACAACACAGCTGAATAAAATCCCACATTATCTGCTTTGTACGGGGATATATGGCAGTGTAGACTCAGATAACCCAGTTCAAACCAGAGATTGTGGCATTTTCTGCCTTGATATTCTGGGTCTATGGCTGTGTGGAGGGGCCCTTTAAGGGAGATGGTCTCAGCCTGTTCTTAAAGAGACAGTAGCCTCTGGGCTACTAAATGTGTTGGCCCCGCCCCTCCGCTTCCACGTGCCCCTCCCTTCTGCCTCCGGAGCTGAACATGGCTGCTGCGGCTGGAGCGCTGCGAAGGGTGCTGAAGCCTTCGGTAAGCGCCAGATCGTCCCAGGAAACCGTGCCTACATTTCAGCCCCTTGGGGCCAAAGCAAGGAGGTGTTGCATTCTCCCGTTGCATTTTTGCCTGGAAGAGCACTGCAATGGCTTGAACTTCCTGCCCTTGGAGCAGCCCGGGCCTTGAGCACGCCTTTGGAGGTTAAGGTCCCGCCCCCCCCCCCCCCCCCCCCCGCCTTGCAAAGGTGCCACCTGGTGTTATGGACTTAATCTTCCAGAAATCCCAGGCAGCTTACCAACTGTTAGGAATTGTTGGAGTTGAAGTCCAAAACACCTGGAGGGCCGAAGTTTGCCCATGCCTGAGCTCCACTGTAGAATTAATGCAGTTTGGCCACCACTTGGAACTGCCATGGCTCAAAGCAGATCAAGGGAGTTGTACTTTCACGCAGTCTTTAGCCTAAATGACCTCACCAAACTACAACTCCCACGATTTCATAGCATTGATCCCTAGCATGAGATCACACTGCATCAATTCTAGTGCCGAGCTGCATTAATTCTACAGTGTAGTAGAGTCACACTAAGTGCCATGGCTCCATGCTAAATAATCATAGGGATTGTAGTTTTGAAAGGTCTTTAGCCTTTTCTGCAAAAGAGCTTGGTCCTCTATTAAACTACAGCTCCCATGATTCCATAGCAATGAGCCATGGCGGTTAAAAACTCCAGTGTAGAGCCACCCATAATGTGGAATCCTGGAATTTGTAGTTTTAAGTAAGGACATTCAGAATTCTCAGCCAGAGAATTACAAACCCCATAATTCCACAGGGTGTTGCCATGGTAGTTAAAGCAGAATAGTAGTGCTACAACTGTATAGTATGGCAGGACTCTGAATTTGTAAACCTAAGAGCAGGAAACTGTCAAATTAACAATTTGGGAGCTGATCCGAGGGCCCTTCCAGACAGGCCCTATATCCCAGGATCCGATCCCAGGTTTTCTGTTTATTCCAGATTATCTGGCAATGTGGACTCGTATAATCCAGTTTAAAGCAGAAAATCTAGTATCAGATCCTGGGATATAGGGCCTGCCTGGAAGGGCCCTAAGAGTCTTTCCGATTGAAGGGTGAGATAAGTCTTTCTATATCTGAAGAGTGGGATTGAACAACTTCAGTTACACTTGCCCTCTGTAAAATGGGTTTCTTTTGCATCCTTCACACTATATCGAAGCCTAAAGTGGAGGTAGCTACTTTTTTTCATAAAAGAAAGAGAAATGTTATACACTGAGACCTTGTTCCAGCTGGGTTTTGGTTTCAGGTTCCCCCAGCGGATACCAAAAATCTGTGGGTGCTCAAGTCCTATGGTAAGTACAGTAGAGCCTCACTTACCCAACATAAACGGGCTGGCAGAATGTTGGATCAGCGAAAATGTTGGATAATAAGGAGGGATTAAGAAAAAACCTATTAAATCTCAAAGTACATTATGATTTTACCAATTAAGCACCAAAACATCATGTTTTACAACAAATTGACAGAAAAAGCAGTTCAATACATGGAAACGTTATATAGTAATTACTGTATTTATGAATTTAGCAGCAAAACATCGCAATGTATTGAAATAGCTGTGGATCCGGGAGTTAGACTGCATTGGATAATACAGAACGTTGGATGAGCAAAGGTTGGATAAGCGAGACTCTACTATAATAAGATGGTGCCCAGTATATAAAATGAAATAACAAAGGTTTGCTTTGGGGGGTTTATAGAAATATTTTCAAGCTGTGGATGGTTGAATCTGTGGATACGGAGAGTCTCCAAGTTAAGAACAAGATAGATTATGTAGGTTTGTTCTTAAATTGAATTTGTATTTAAGTTAGAACAGGTACATGTTTTAACATTGTAGCTCCAACCATATAACATAATAATATAATCTGTATAAATAAAATGTAATGTTCATTTGTGGGATTAACAGAAGTCAAAAACCACTGGGGGAATTGACACCAAATTTGGACACAATACACTTAACAATCCAATGTATGCCCTTCACTCATAAAAACACTGAAAAACACAGCAGAAGGMACTTTAAAAAACCCCAAAAAGCTAAATGRCAATACAAAAAAAGGGAAGAAAGAGGGAGGGAAGGGGAGGAAAGAAAGAAAGAAAGAAAGAAAGAAAGAAAGAAAGAAAGAAAGAAAGAAAGAAAGAAAATAAAGAGCAAGAGAAAGAAAGAAGGAAAGGGAGAAGGAAGCATGGAAGCAAAGAGAGAAGGAAGTAAGGAAAGAGGTAGAGAAGGAAGAAAGGAGAGAAAGGGGGGGRAAAGAAAAATGGGGAAGTTAGGAAAGTTAAAGAAGGAAGGAAGAGAAGGAAAGAAAGAAGGGAAAGAAGGAAGGAAAGAGGGAGCGAAGGAATGGGGAAGATGTAGAGAAAGAGGGAGAGAAGGAAAGGGAAGAAAGAAAAGAGACAGCAGAAGAGAAAGAAAAAGGGGGAAGGAAGGAAAGTGATAGAGAAGGAAGGAAGGAAGAAGAGAAGGAAAGACAGGAAGGAAAGAGGGAGTGAAAGAAGGAGAGAAAGAGGGAACGTTGGCCACAGCAAAGCATAGCGGGTACAGCTAATATAATATAATATAATATAATATAATAAATATAATATAATAAAAGCTTTCGATAGCATAGGGAAAATTGAACACTCCTGTGGCATTTCTTTTGCTGCCTGTGCTTCTGTTCAGAAGATTTCATCTCACTTTTTGCCCCTGTGGTAATTGGATTTTGGAAAATTTGGCTTGTTATGAAAACAAGGATTGGAGATAAGAGCTTCAGTGGAGACACTTTCCCCTCATAATATACTCTTTCAGGAGTGAAGTTCCCTTCCATGGGGTAGATTTCTCTCATTTCCAGTTGTCACACCCCTGGTTCTTAACTAGGAATCGTTTGTAAGTCAGATGTTTGTAACTCGGAGACTGCCTGTACTGTTAGAACTGCCACCCTCTCCTTTCACCCATCTAGTGCTGTGCGTGTTTTGAATGGAAGAATTGTGTCTTATCTAAATCTGGAAAGAGGTATCTCTCCTGCTTGTGTGACATGTTGCCTTCTTTTTCTTCCCAGGCTGCCTGGACCACCACTTTCCCCTGGAAGGCATGCCTTTCCCCTGCCAGACGGTCTCTCCCTGCATTTGCGGCTACATGCGGACAGAAGAGCACTAGTACCAGTGTGGTGCCACCTTTTCCTCGGCACCATTACTGTACCAGTAAGTCCATTCTAGGGGAAGGGTTCCATTGTGTGGTCTTACTTTTCACCCAGTGAGCTTTGCTTGAGCAATTTCTAGCGTTCCCCTCACTCCTTGATTGAGCAGCTGTTTACAATCACACTGTATCGACACAGGGTGTATCTACACAGTAGAATTAATAACTGCCAGGATTCAATGCAGATCATGGGAGTTGTAGTTAGAACTGCGGTGGCACAGTGGGTTAAACCCTTGTGCTGGCTGAACTGCTGACCTGAAGGTCGACAGTTTGAATCCATGAGGCGGGGTGAGCTCCCGTCTGTCAGCCCCAGCTTCCCATGTGAGAACATGAGAGAAGCCTTCCAAAGGATGGTAAAACATCCAGGTGTCCCCTGGGCTGTCCTTGCAGACAGCCAATTCACTCACATCAGAAGCGACTTGCAGTTTCTCAAGTTGCTTCTGACACGATTTAAAAAAAGGGAGTTGTAGTTTTTCCAGAGTCTTTGGCCTTGGTGTCTCACCAAACAACTCCCAGGTTTCAAAGGATTGAGACATGGCAGTCAAAGTGATGTCAGTTTGCATTCGTTCTACAGTACAGGAGCATGTTTGACTAGATACTGAGCAACACAAATGCACACACAGGGCCACAAATATTTTCAGAAGTTCTTGCTCGTTTTACATACAGGAACATAGTGAATGTCCAGCTTTTTTCTTATAATACCAACACTTTGTGCTATATCTCCCTTTTCCTAGGCCCTCCAGCTTCTGTTCCTGCTGTCACTCAACATGCTCCCTATTTTAAGGGCACTGCTGTCGTTGATGGGGATTTCAAAGAGCTGAGTTTGGATGACTTTAAAGGGAAATATCTGGTTCTCTTCTTTTACCCCTTGGATTTGTAAGTGAACATTCAGATGTCTTATCTTTTAAACCTTTGGACTGCAAATGTTTTGTGGCGATAAAGGAATCCGTTGGTGGGTTTGCTTTCACTTCACATTAGGCCTTTTGGGGGAAAGTACAATATATCTTTTGTGCAAACGATAAAAATGAACTGGAGGCAGTCTTTATCATTGACTTGTTGCAGCATGACTGTCCGTGTTGTGAATGTGTGTGTGTATATATATATGAGAGAGAGAGAAAAGGTGACTGATATATTCATAAAACGTCTCCGTCTAAATACACTAAAGGCACCAGACCTGTCTGATCTGGAATGCTAAGCAGGGTCATCCTTGGTTACTCCTTGGATGGGAGTCCACCAGTGAAAACCTGGTGCTGTTGGCTATATTTTAGAGGAGGGAATGGGCAAAACCACCTCTTGAGCATTGCTTTGCTTTAAAAAACCATGTGAATCATTCACAGTTTTGCCATAAATGAATGGGAAACTTGAAGCCACACACAAACAATCACACAAAGTATCATAAAAGGAAATGTTATATAGATCAGGGATGGGGAATATATGACCTTCAGATTTTGTTGTACTACAGTTCCTATCATTGCTTGCAATGGCAAAAATCTATTGCACTGTGTAACATGATTTTTGTCCCTGGGTTATAAATGTCATTTCCTACTTGGTTCTATCATAAAGACATGGAAAAAGTTTATTAAACTGCAAAAACTTGGTTTTTGTAAGACATGCTGTAGCACATTTTGCTATAGTTTTTCAATGAATATCTTATAGAGTCTCAGCCAATTCAACCTAGTTTGTGGCAGTCACAGAAACAAAGTTTCTGGAGTTTAACAAGTACTTTCAAAGTAAGTACCGCACAGTTAAACAGGAAATAACACTTTCAAACCACAAACAGAAAAAAAATCAGGGAAAGTCAAGGACATCAGTGAAAATGTCAAGGGAACTATGGTTGAGATATACTTGAGTAATGGACTTTTTAGACACTGCTGCAAGAGGACAGTTTGTATTTGTTGCAGTTGAATGTAATGATGCACACATGTTCCAAAAAACCCCCTCTTATTATGGTTGTAAAATAAAATAAAATGTAATCCTGTATGTGATAGCATTATGCTATTATAGAAATGCTGACAAGTTACTTGGAATCAGTTATAGTTGATTTGAAAGTATGTTTTGACAACAACAACAACAATAATAACTTTATTTTTATACCCTGCCAACCATCTCCCTAGGTTCAATAAATGGGGACTTTCTGGATTTACTACCCAACCAGCATTTTTTCTAGGCAGCTGTGAAGTCCAATCCTGCCAGAGTTTACCTGCATTGGAAAAATGAAATTAGTTTAGTAAAACAGCATTAAAAATGATTTTTTAGAAACTAGATTTTTTGGGAGTAGAATTGAGGTTTACAGTTGGGCCGAGAACAAAAACAAATTATTCCTTTAAACTATGAAAAAGTTCTGTTGCTTTTCAGTGTTATACATTATTTGTATTGGAGTTCTGCTCTTGGCATATTTTAGTGCAGGTATGGGCAAACTTGGGCTCTCCAGGTGTTTTGTACTTCAACTCCCACAATTCCTAACAGCTTACTGGCTGTGGGAGTTGAAGTCAAAACATCCGGGGGGCCAAAGTTTGTCCATACCTGTTTTAGTGTGATCCCAATCTTGTCAAGTCTCTGTTTATTTTGTAAACAAACATCACCAATGTTTCAGATTTTCTGGGACCACTTCTGCCACAGTCATTTATGTTATAAAAAACAAAAATTTGTAAGTGCCACGTGACTATTGCTTACAAAATGGATCTCTGGAAAATACAATATTTTGTACTTAAATGAGGATTAAATAAAAAAGATGGGGATGGGGGAGGTAAGCATTTCCATTTTGATGATCTATTTCTCTATATTTTTTCTTGGCAAAATGGTCTCTGGTTTTGACCTTTGAACTTAACGACTGTGACTTAGACTGTTTATGAACATTCCTTTATGCAAAGCGTGCAAATATTTATTTTTGTGTTCTCTGAACTTTACAGTGGAAAAAAGTCAAATTCTGCTTTTTAAAAAAACTGACATCTGTGGCTTGCCCTTTCTTTACACTTTGCTTGTGCTTCTTCCTACTAGCACTTTTGTATGCCCAACGGAAATTATTGCTTTCAGTGACAAAGCAAATGAATTCCATGATGTGAACTGTGAGGTTGTTGCTGTGTCGGTGGATTCTCACTTTTGCCACCTTGCCTGGATAAACACACCACGAAAGGTATGAATGCTGTCTTTAACGGAACTGAGTTGTTATTTTGTTTTTCAATGATAGTACCTTTATCAGAGATCATACTTTTAAAATTGCTTTTTAAAAATTGCAAATACTAAATTATGATTGTGTTAATATTAAATCTGAAACAAAGCACAGTACCGTATCAGAAGCATTTCTGGGTTGCTGTGAGTTTTCTGAACTGTATGGCCATGTTCCAGAAGCATTCTCTCCTGACTTTGCCCACATTTATGGTAGATATTCTCAGATGTTGCCTGCCATAGATGTGGGCGAAACGTCAGGAAAGAATCCTTCTGGAACATGGCCATACAGCCTGGAAAACTCATAGCAACTCAGTGATTCCAGCCCTGAAAGCCTTCGACAACACATAGAAACATTTCTGTACTGAATCAGTTTCTTTCTCAGATGCATTGAGATGAAAGATACTTTTCTATGTGAATGTAAATCTAGAGCAATCTTTCAAACGCCAATATTAATATTATTTATATCCTGCCTTTTCTCCAAAATTAGAACCAAAGGCAATATACATTTCACCAACTAGATTTTTGGCATTCTTTTTTCAACTGCTGACAATAACCTGCTCTAGTTTGACTGCTAACTATTGTGCATTAGTCTAGCCTCTCAACCATGGATAGTTTAATTAATTACTATTCTTTATTTTATTTCTCTGCAGGTTGGCATGAGCCAAAGACAAAGTGAAATGATAAAATTAGTATAGCTTATTGATCAAATCTGAATTATTGTTTAAGTAAGAAGCAGTGATTATAAATGAATGTAACATAGTAATTTAATTCACTTCCCATTCATAACAAAAGAAAAGTTGAAAACTCTGTATGGTGGCCAGAACATGAAATTGGGCTACCATTCTGAAGACTTAACTGCTATATAACCTTTCTGCTGCAGAGATGTTCTTGGTTTTTGGTAGGGGAGAATTTACAGATTGCTATTGCACAAAGACAAGGTGTTAGGGAAAACACAAAGTACTGATAAAAGTATTCTAAATCATTTAACCTTGGTGGTGCAGAGGGTTAAACCACTGAACTGCTGAGCTTGCTGACCGAAAGTTTGGTGGTTCGAATCAGGGGAGCGGGGAGAGCTCCCGCTGTTAGGCCAAGCTTCTGCCAACCGAGCAAGTTCGAAAACTTGAAAATGTGAGTAGATCAATAAGTACCGCTTTTGTGGGAAGGTAATGGCGCTCCGTGCAGTCATGCTGACCACATTACCTAGGAGGCGTCTATGGACAACGCCGTCCCTTCAGCCTAGAAATGGAGATGAGCACCACTGCCCAGACATGACTAGATTTAATGTCAGGGGAAACTTTTACCTTTACCTTATATAGAAACAGCAGGCTGCATTGATTATATGAAGGCAACTGAAGCTAATGTTTTACACCAGCAGGAGAAAAAATTCATTTAAATGATACAAATACTTGATGTCTGTCAGCCTTGAAGCCTGTGATTCCACGTGGGTAAATTTATGCATGTGCAAACTTTGTAAAATTGAATGGCCAGTGATCAACCAAGGTGACTCAGACACAGACCACGGGAAGTCCCTGAACACTAATGATCAGCCTTGTCTCAAGGAGAAGTTGTTTATCTTCCCAGTTGTGGTGATGCTGTGAAATTCAATAGCAACTGGCACCTCAGTGCGCAAACAAGCTTACATATGTACACGAAGCAGAACTAATAACAAGATTCAAAAATTGCGAAAACCACTTAACAGAAGCAAAAAGCACCTAGTCTTATTTATTTTTCAAAGTGGTGTAACAAGTATTTCCAAAAAGTATTTCTTTCATGGGATAAAAAATAAAACAAGTTAAGAAAATAATAAAGAATAAGTTAATAAATGTGGACCAAACCAAAAATCAAAAACGCAAGACAATCCTTGCTGTAATTATTTAAATATCCAGTGTCTTCTTTTCAGAGTCCATCCAGCTGCTTAGAAAAGATCAGTAGTAAAGCTTGTAAGCAATTAGAAAAGCTTGATGRCAATTAACTCTACCTGTTAACTTCCAAGTACTTGACATTCCATATAGTCTTTATGAATAATATGGCMATTTACATGTGACAAAYGGTAGTGCTGATCTGGACTGGGGTACTCCAGTGCTGCAAAAATCCATATGGCCAGTTGCTAAGCCTSCTCCAGGACTRATGGGTGTCTGCRCTGCATGTCCCTGTGCTGAGGAGTTAGCTGTAGWGCAGTKGTTCTCAACCTGTGGGTCCCCAGATGTTTYGGCCTTCAACTCCCAGAAATCCTAATAGCTGGTAAACTGACTGRGATTTCTGGGAGTTGTAGATCAAAACACCTGGGGACCCACAGGTTGAGAACCACTGCTCTAGARCATCCTGCAGYTTTCTTTTTAAGTCAAATAGACMATTTCTCATGTGGATGCCATGGAATTCAATTTACTCCTGARCCAACCCATTTGGCCTATAGTCATCAAGAACACTAYCTTTCATAATTTTGTCTAATCTTTCAAGTCCATTCCAAACAGAGCTTATAAAAGTTATTTTTTAAGCTGTAATTCCCAGAGTCCCCCTGGTACTGGTAAGGTGGATAGAGGATTCTGTGAACCTTAGTCCAAAATAACTTTGGTGTAAGCTTCAAATAACCAATTCCATGCTGTGAGCAAACCTTTTCTGTTTGCCTGCCCCATATGTATTGCCAGTTAGCTACACTGGATTTTTCCATATTCTAGTGTTTTTATGTTAGAGAAATCGTATCTCTGTCAAGTTTTTCTGCATGCTATGATTAGGTTGTTCATTTAAAGGAAAATAATTGAATTATGTTTTTAAAGTTGGCAGCAGACTTAGTTGGTCGGTGTCAGTTAGGAAGTCAAACCCTTAACAAGATTGAAATCTGCATAGATGGGGCATATTTGCCCCCTTCAAAAATTTTGGGCATTAGCCCTCCGCTTCCTTTCTCTGTTGATCAGGCGGGTTGGGGCTTTGGAGTGCCCAATACTCTAGATCTAGAATGTCAGTGCTTTCCACTCCCATTGTACCTTTTCTGATCTCTTTACTTTCTGGATAAGAATTTTAACACTGCTGCACATATTTTACATTGAGTTTTTACTTGCTGTTCTGTAGACACTATTGAGATGGGTCTTTGGGGCATTTAATATTTTTTTTGTTTAAGCAAAACATATTTGATGTATTGTTGAAGGCTTTCATGGCCGGAATCGCTGGGTTGTTGTAAGTTTTTTGGGTTGTATGGCCATGTTCCAGAAGCATTCTCTCATGATGTTTCGCCTGCATCTATGGCAGGCATCCTCAGAGGTTGTGAGGTCCATACAGCCCAAAAAACTTACAACAACCCAAAACTTATTTGAGTATTGTGGCACTGCTAGGAAATATAAAGCAGCATATAACCTTTATTCACCCCTCAGTCCTAGCTTTCCTTCATTTATTTGTTTACAATTGATTTTAACATAAGGGTATATCTGAAAAAGAGAAAAAAGAAATTCATAGTTATGTCTACACTGCAGAATTAAAGCAGTTTTAAATCACTTTAATTGCTCATTGCTTTTATGGCTCAATGCTATGGAGTCTGTTGTTTGATGGGGTACCAGCACTCTTTGGCAGAGAAAGCTATAGACCTTGTAAAACTACAACTGTCATGATTCCATAGCATTGAGCAATGACAGTTCAACTGGTGTCAAACTGCATTCATTCTAGAGTGTAGAGATGCACCCCATGTCATGAAAATCTGTCTTCTTTTCATAGCCTCAGGTAAAGGTAAACATTTCCCCTGACATGAAGTGTAGTCGTTTCAGACTCTGGAGGTGGTGGTCATCTCCATTTCTAAGCCTAAGAGCTGGCATTGTCTGTAGACACCTCCAAAGTCATATGGCCGGCATGACTGCATGGAGTGCCGTTACCTTCCCGCTGAAGTGTTGTCTATTGATCTACTAACTTTCACAAACTTTCAAGCTGCTAGATTGGCAGAAGCTAGGACTAATAGCGGGAGCTCAGCCTTCTCCCCAGATTCAAATCACCAACCTTTCAATCAGCAAGTTCAGCAACTCAGCGGTTTAACCCATTGTGCTTCCAGGGGGCCTTCTTCATAGCCTTACTATCTCTATATATTTTATTCAAACCTTATTGTCAGTTAAATTTTCATCACATAATATTCCAGTTTAAACTAAGATTTCGGCCCTGTCCCCAATTGAAAACTGAAATGCCACTTTTCTCTCTTTCATTAGAATGGCGGCTTGGGAAGTATGAAAATCCCTCTTCTGTCAGACATAACGAAACAGATTTCCCGAGATTATGGTGTGCTTTTGGAAGGACCTGGTGTTGCATTAAGGTGAGAGACATCTTAATGAATTACCATTATTATGTACATGGTTTAACTGCATTAATGGAAATATATCCTAATGTTGTTTTTAAATAACAAAAAAATGCTTCAGTTTATTAACCTTGGAAGAGAAACTAGGGTGGTTTTCTGTTTGTAGGCTTTGCTGTTCAAAGCACTCAAAGCAGAATTGGGAAATTTATAGCAATTCAGATGTGGGACAGTATTTCTCATGTTCCTGACCATGGACTGTTCTGACTATGGCTAATGTGAGATGCATTCCTCCAACAGTTAAAAGGCCATGTATTCCCTCCTTCCATTTAAGGAAAGGTTGTGTCAGATAATATTATCAGCAGGAACTCATAAGGCAACTAGACTAATCTTATTCTGACATGGCAGTTATGTGTGCAGGGGAAAAAACATCTAAGGTATATCCAACTGTTTCCTTGTCTGAGACAATAGAAACTAGGCAGCAGTTATTTGGTTTAGTCTCGAGTATGTTATTTTCAGTACTGTATGCTACCTTATAGCAGTTTGTGACCAGATTTTTAAAAAGTACACGGACATTATCTCCAACACAACCTAAAACATTCAAACATTTTATTGGAATCCTCACTGTAATTCAAAACTTGGACTAAATTGAGGACTGGCCATTACCAGAAAAAATATCCCAGTTCAATCCAAGGTATTGTGAGAGGTAGAGTCAAAAAATATATCAGTTGGGTAAGTTTTTTCTGAAGTACTTGTTTTCTGGTGTATACCCTTATTGCTAAAGAATAAAGACTGATCTTTGTGTTGCATTGATTTTATTGCATTTTTGTTGTCTTTATATTGCGTCAGTCTCAAGAATTGAAAGTAGGATATTTGCACAAAGCAGCTACATTAAAAAAGCATTCACGCGTGTAGCTGGAACACATTTTAAACTGGAAAAGAATATGTGGGAGGTGTGTTTTTGCATGCCAGGCCTCTTAACATGTATGCATTCTGCTTTATTTCTTTGAAGGGGTCTCTTTATCATTGATCCTAATGGAATCATCAAGCATTTGAGCATCAATGACCTCCCAGTTGGTCGCAGTGTGGAGGAAACGATCCGCTTGGTAAAGGCCTTCCAGTTTGTAGAGACGCATGGAGAAGTCTGCCCAGCAAATTGGACACCAAACTCCCCCACGGTGGGTTAGCAAACATAATACTCTGATGTGCAAATGTGACCAAGTTCCTTAGCCACTTTGAGTCTCCTTTAGGAGAGCTAAAGCAGGGAATAATAATAATAATAATAATAATAATAATAATAATTATTATTATTATTATTATTTGCTGCTCTTTATGTAACAATGAGAACTATCCATGTTGTCTGGAATGCTAACAAAATAACCGATCAATTAATAGGCTATTAAAATAATAAATAAGAATGTACAGCATGAGCATCCCTTATTAGAAATGCTTTGAACTAGAAGCAATTTAGATTTCAGAATGTCTGTATTTGCATGTAAATAATGAGATACCTTGGAGATGGGACCCAGTTCTAAACATGAAATACATTTATGGTTTATAAACATATTGAAAAGATTTGTGAGAAGTGCTATTAGCTGCCAGGTCTAGCTGATGCACTCTTTCTGCTTTGCTATATGTCTCCTCCTCATGCATTTGAGTGTAAAGGGCTAAAACATTTGCTAATTTCTGATATCTAGCAAGGAAATACTTGAGATTTCACCTGGTGATTTGAACACTAGTTCATTTAAGGTTTCAAGTAAACTATTCATTAGTTTAGAGCAGGGGTCCTCAAACTAAGGCCCGGGGGCCGAATATGACCCCCAAGGTCATTTACCCAGCCCTCACTCAGGGTCAACCTAAATCTGAAATGACTTGAAAGCACACAACAACAACAACAACAACAACAACCCTATCTTATCAACCGAAAGCAGGTCCACACTACTCATTGAAATACTAATAATTTTATATTTGTTAAAATCGTTCTTCATTTTAATTATTGTATTGTTTTAAAGGTTTCTTTTTTGCACTACAAATAAGATACGTGCAGTGTGCATAGGAATTCACTCATGTTTTTTTTCAAATTATAATCCAGCCCTCCAACAGTTTGAGGGACTGTGACCTGGCCCTCTGTTTAAAAAGTTTGAGGACCCCTGGTTTAGAGGATTGTGGGCAGTTTGCAGTAGGTAATTGTTGCCTTTATTTGAATATATCTTTTATTTTTGATATCTTTTTACTTTGCAGATCAAGCCAAATCCAGAAGGATCAAAGGAATACTTTGGCAAAGTCAATAAATAAGATCATGAACAGTAAAGAGCTACTATCGGGTTTCCTCAAGCCAGAAGCTGACAACTTGTGAAAGCAGCCTTGATTGTAATAAAAACGCACAATTGTTTTAATAGTTCTTCTGATTTAAACATGGTCTATTTTGTAGGATTATGGAGATGAGTAGTTTTCTTGCCCAGGCGGGTTTAAGCACCACTGAAGGCTTGAGCATCTCCTACGTATAATAGCACTAGCAGAAAATGTTTGTAATTAAAGAGAACTATATGAAGAAAAATAATTATTGCCTACTATCATCACTCTGAAATGTCTTTCTGCTCTTTGATTAATCACAAGTAGTAGACTAAAAGTTGTCTTCAGGAACTGGTTAGCATTTTTAAAACATGAAGCAAGGTAAAAAAAGTTGGTGCACAAGGGCTGCAGAGGGAAAGAAGTAAATCAATGTCAATAGACTGGTTTTTCAATTTGTCAATTTATAGCTTTTGCTTATCAAGCCTTGTTTCACCCACCTACTCTTTTTCTTGTGTTACATCAAAGTGCATTGTGGCCTGAGGTCTACATTTATGATAATATTCCCATCTCAAATCCCCCCCTTTCCTCTGGACATTGTATGACTGAGTAGAGAATACAGATATATATTCAATTGATCCAAGATAACTATTCTGCAAATTAGTTCTTTGCATTCAGAGATGTGCTGTGTGGTACATCAGTCCCATCTATTCTTAAAATTTAGAATTAGTATCTTATGTTGCCATGTGAATTGTCCCTGAAATTATAGCAAGGAAGTATTTAAACTCACACAACTATTATGCATATTAATATAGGCTGTCAAATACATTTGAATAATTAATAGGGTGAGATTGGTTCTGTTAATTTAGAAATAAATACAAAATGGAGCTGTGAACCAAAGTCTTTGCTGGTCATGTTCAAATCATTCATGATATGTAGCAACTTTGCATAGTTTTGCTTTGGATGGGAAATCAAATTATTTTCAAATGGGTTATTTGTAATTAACAGTTGAAAATTAATGAATGATTCTATGAATTAAAAGAGATTATTTCTGAAAACATCCATAGTATTTCTGTCAGTTAAATATACTTGAGGAAAACAAAATGAGGATATCTAGATTCTAGAAGATGGTTATCAAAGATGGTGGATCTCTGGTCATTTTTCTAAAATGACACACTCACCTGATGGTTGGGAGTTTCAGCTTGCTTTTTTAAAAAGTGCTTGCCCAAGAGTTGTCAATGAGTAACTCATTTCTGAAGCTTAGAGAAGACAATGATGCTTGGGAAAATGGAAGGAAAAAGGAAGAGGGGCCGACTAAGGGCAAGATGGATGGATGGTATTCTTGAAGTGACTGGCTTGGGAAGTCGGATCTGGCCACAGTGGTCCACGCTCTTGTTACATCCCGATTAGATTACTGCAACGCACTCTATGTGAGGTTGCCTTTGAAGACTGTTCAGAAACTCCAACTAGTCCAGCGGGAGGCAGCCAGACTGCTCACCGGAGCGTCATACAGGGAGCATACCACCCCCCTGTTGTGTCAGCTCCACTGGCTGCCGATCCAATTCCGAGCACAATTCAAAGTGCTGGTTTTGACCTACAAAACCCTATATGGTTCCGGCCCAGTGTATCTGTCCAAACGGATCTCCCTCTACGTCCCACCTCGGAGTCTAAGATCTTCTGGGGAGGCCCTGCTCTCGACCCCGCCTCTATCACAAGTGAGGTTGGCAGGGACGAGGAGCAGGGCCTTCTCGGTGGTGGCCCCTCACCTGTGGAATTCACTCCCCGGGGAAATTAGATCTGCAACCTCGCTCCTTTCCTTTAGGAAAAAACTGAAAACATGGATTTGGGACCAGGCATTCGGACAATCGGGCAGATGAAGAAAGAACTTTGACGATGATTAAGAAATGATTAATGGATTAGAACTATGGAACTCTGAAAGACGGAATGCTGAGCATGAGAATAGTTTTTATATGATTTTTTATATGATGTGTTATGTACTAGTTGTGGATTGTTTTAATTGTGATAACTGTTTTTAACTATGGTTTTGTATATTATGTGTAAAGTGTATAGGCATTGAATTGTGCCTTTTTTGTAAGCCACCCTGAGTCCTCCCTGGGGGGTTGAGAAGGGCGGGGTAAAAGTACCTGTAATAAATAAATAAATAAATAAATAAAGGAGCTGGAGGTGGTGACGGCCAACAGGAAGATCTGGCGTGGGCTGGTCCATAAGGTCACGAAGAGTCAGAAGCGACTGAACACCAAACAACTCATTGCAATTGTATATAATTGTCTACAGCTGTGGAACTCTAGTTTGGTGAGGCACCAGTAACTTTAGGCAGAGGAGGCTGAAGACCTTGCAAAACTACAACTCCCAGGGTACCATTAGCATTGAGCCACAGCTGTGGAACTAGTTTGGTGAGGCACCAGTAACTTTAGGCAGAGGAAGAAGAAGACCTTGCAAAACTACAACTCCCAGGGTCCCATTAGCATGGAGCCACAGCGGTGGAACTGTAGTTTGGTGAGGCACCAGTAACTTTAGGCAGAGGAGGCTGAAGACCTTGCAAAACTACAACTCCCAGGGTCCTATTAGCATGGAGCCATAGCAGAGGAACTGTAGTTTGGCGAGGCACCACTAACTTTAGGCAGAGGACGCTGAAGACCTTGCAAAACTACAACTCCCAGGGAACCATTAGCATGGAGCCACAGCTGTGGAACTGTAGTTTGGTGAGGCACCAGCAACTTTAGTCAGTGGAGGCTGAAGACCTTGCAAAACTACAGCTCCCAGGGTCCTATTAGCATGGAGCCACAGCTGTGGAACTGTAGTTTGGCGAGGCACCAGTAACTTTAGGCAGAGGAGGCTGAAGACCTTGCAAAACTACAACTCCCAGGGTCCTATTAGCATGGAGCCACAGCAGTGGAATTGTAGTTTGGTGAGGCACCAGTAACTTTAGGCAGAGGAGGCTAAAGACCTGGCAAAACTACAACTCCCAGGGTTCCATTAGCATGGAGCCACAGCTGTGGAAGGGATGCCTGATGGAAGTAGTTCCTTGGAGACGCACAGCCGCGTGCAATGAGCAGGTTTCCTTCTATTAAGAGTCAAGCGGCCCATGACGTCACGGGCAAGAGGCGGGGCCTAGGGGTCTTCCGGACCAGGCGCTTTCCGGCAGAGCCATCCCCATGGATTTGAATCTGGAGTTCTGGAGGAGCGAAGGCAAAGTATGGCGCGTGCCTTCATGGAGAGCTGGGTCTCAGAGAGAGGAAGGAGGGAGGGAGAGCCTTTGTTTTTTCTCCTGGGGGTTGGCTTTATCTCTGCTTTGCTTGCATGCAAGGTTTCACCTGCAAAGGTCAGCTGGGGAGCAGCATGGGCTTGCAATGGGGAAGATAGAGTAGATCATTCTATGGAACGAATGAATGCAGTGGGAGCTGTAGTTGCACAAGATCTTCAACCATCTCTGCCAAAGTGGGCTGATGCTTCACCAAACTACAGCTCCCAGGATTGCATAGCAGTAAGCCAAGGCAGTTCAATGCCTGCTTTAATGGGACAGTGCAGACTGTACCCATAGTGACCTTGGATGGATTTGGTATTACAGATTTGAGTTTGCTTTATCCAGAATCCTGAAACATTTCCCTGCCATGACTCGGGGTTCTTCCACATAGCCTTATAATCCAGTATATCACGGCAGAAAATCCCACATTATCGGAGTGTGGACTCAGATAACCCAGTTCAAAGCAGATATTGTGGGATTTTCTGCCTAGATATTCTGGGATATAGGGCCTCACCAAACTACATCCTCTAGGATTCCATAGCATTGAGCCAGGGCTTCTTTAATGGGACAGTGTAGTGTAGACATTATTATAATGTAATGCAATATAATATAATGCATTACTACTAATAATATGATATTATAATTATATATTTATAGGTAAAGGTAAAGATTGTCCCCTGACATTAAGTTCAGTCATGTCTGACTCTGGGGTGTGGTGCTCATCTCCATTTCTAAGCCAAAGAACTGACGTTGTCCATAGACACCTCCAAGGTCATGTGGCCGGCATGACTGCATGGAACGCAATTATATATTTATATAGTTTTGCAAGGTCTTCAGCCTCCATATATATATATATGTATATATATATATAATATTACTTTATATTACATGTAATATACCATTATATTGTAATATTACAATATAATGGTATAAGTACAATATAGTAATATATAATACTGATACTGTACTATGCTAATAATATAATAAAATGTGTGTATGTATGTATATATATACATACATACATACATACATACATCTTGTAAGCCGCTCTGAGTCCCCTTTGGGGTGAGAAGGGCAGCATATAAATGTCATAAATAAATAAAAGACTGTACCAATAGTGACATTGGATGGATTTGCTATTACAGATTTGAGTGCTTTATCCAGAATCCTGAAGCATTTCCCTGCCATGACTCAGGGCCCTTCCACACAGCTATATAATAATCCAGTGTATCATGGCAGAAAGTCCCACAATATCTGTTTTGAACTGGGGACCCTTCCACACAGCCCTATATCCCAGAATATCAAGGCAGAAAATCCCACATTATCTGAGTATGGACTCAGATAACCCAGTTCAAAACAGATCTTGTGGGATTTTCTGCTTTGGTATTCTGAGATATAGGGTTGTGTGGAAGGGCCCTGGGTTATCTTGTAGGACAGGGGTCCTCAAACTTTTTAAACAGAGGGCCAGGTCACAGTCCCTCAAACTGTTGGAGGGCCAGATTATAATTTGAACACCCCCACCCATAATTTGAATTCCTATGCATACTGCACATATCTTATTTATAGTGCTAAAAACACTTAAAACAATACAATAATTAAAATGAAGAACAATGCTAACAAATATAAACTAATTAGTATTTCAATGGGAAGTATGGGCCTGCTTTTGGCTGATGAGATAGGATTGTTGTTGTTGTGTGCTTTCAAGTCATTTCAGACTTAGGTTGACCCTTAGTGAGGGCCAGGTAAATGACCTTGGAGAGCCGTATCCGGTTCCCAGGCCTTAGTTTGAGGACCCCTGTTGTAGGGGCAAAGAAACCAAAATATTTCTCCAAAATGCAGGAGTCCCTTTCCAATAGGGAGGGCAAGGAAGGACACCACGAAAGTTGAATCTTTTAAACTGCAAACAAACTATTTATTGCGTGGCCATAGCAATAACGACAAACAAGCATACAGGAATGCAATCAAAGGGTTTGTCATAACCCCCAATGGGGCTGCAGGGTTTTTATCACTTTGGTAGTAAACGGAATATACATTTTCATTGGTTCCCAAAGACAAAGCATTTCATTGATCTAAGCTAGCTATACAGTTCATTAGTTGTTTATGATTTTGATTGACATTACAGCACGCGTGGGGTCCTAACAATGGCACAACTATAACACAACTATGGTTTATTGTTCTCTGACCATGACTGTATCTTATCTGTTAGTCTTTTGCAAACATGGCTCCAGAGCGACTGGGAAACTTGGGGGTTTTAACTAGCCACCAGCTAGCCAGTTTTGTCTGGATGTACTATTATCCTTGAATAGTAACTTCTTCTCTGGAGCACTGATTTCGCAAACAATTAGCATTTTCTGTAAACATAGCCCTACTGCAGAAATAGGCCAATATGGCAGTAAATCAGGACATATAGGCATTGGGAACATCTCTGAAAATTCCCTTTTTAAAACCATGTCCCCTCTAATCTGAGGTCCTGAGGCCCCTTCTGCACTGCCTTATATCCCAGGATCTGATCCCAGATGATCTGTTTATCCCAGATTATATGGCAGTGGAGACTAAGGCCCCTTCCACACAGCTGTATAAAATTCACATTGAACTGGATTTTATGGCAGTGGACTTAGGGCCTTTCTCCACAGCCGTATAACCCTGAATATCAAAGCAGAAAATCCCACATTATCTGATATTGTAGGATTTTCTGCCTTGATACTCTGGGATATAGGGCCCTGAGTCCACACTGCCATATATTCCAGTTCAAAGCAGATAATGTGGGATTTTATTCAGCTGTATGGAAGGGGCCTTAGACAGGTGCTATATCCCAGAATCTGATCCCAGGTTTTCTATTTATTCCAGATTATTTGGCAGTGCAGACTCATATAATCCAGTTGAAAGCAAAAATACAGCATCAGATCCTGGGATATAAGGCCTGTCTGGAAGGGCCCTTAGTCCACACTACTATATATTTCAGTTCAAAGCAGATAATGTGGGATTTCATTCGGCTATGTGAAAGGGGCCTCAGATAGCCTAGTTCAAAGCATTGTGGATTATCTACCTTGATATTTTGGGCTATATGGCTGTGTGGAAGGACCCTCAGGCCCCTTCAAATATGCCATATAATCCAGATTATCAAAGCAGATAATCCATATTGTCTGCTTTGAACTGGATTATATGAGTCTACACGGCCATATAATGAGTACAAAGCAGACAATCTGGATTTTATATGGCAGTGTAGAAGGGGCCTCATAGAATCTAGGTCAAAGCAGATAATCTGGGATCAGATCCTGGGATATAAAGCAGTGTAGGCCCAGCCTCAAGATCTTTTTAGTCTTCTCTGGTACTTCACCAGTCTACAGTTCCTATGATTCCTTAGCATTGAACTGGAGCAATGAAAACAGTGTCAAACTGCATTGATTCTACAGTGTAGATGCACCCAGAGATAGAGACTCATTTGCTTTCTGTTGGTGCAGTGTGCACAAGCTTCGTTTAACACTCAAAATTATTAAAAATATATTGTACACAAAAGTACCTTCTGGCTATGTGTGTAAGGGGTGTATGTATAGAAATAGATTTTGTATTTAGACTTGGGTCCCCTCTCCAAGATATCTCATTATGCATGTACAGGCAGTCCCCAAGTTACAAACATCCAATTTACAAGCGACTCATAGTTAAGAACAGTAGTTTTTTTTAAATGCGTCAGAAGCAAATTGAGAATACAGTTACAATGTATTTTTAAAAACCACAAACAATGTTTAAAACTTAGCATTATACTAAATTTGCTTTGACCAGAAGCTGGCCACTTGGGGTGCCTCTGGTGTCGCTGTAAGAAAGTCCTCCATTGTGCATGTGGACTTAGGTTGCATTGTAGTAAGTTGTTGTGGACTCTACTTTGTAGCTCAATTTCTGAAGATTGGCTCTGCATCTTGTGATGCCAGAGTGCAGTCTGTTCAGTGCCTCCCAAGTCGCCGAGGAGAGAGTTTTTCATAGGGGTGAGAGAAGTGAGAGAAGCCTACAACTTGGAAGGGAAATTAACATAGGGGAAAGGTGTCATCACTGAAACTTCCTCACCAATTCTTGTTTCCACAAGAAGCCAAATCTTTCAAAATCCAATTATCACAGGAACAGAAAGTGGGGTGACATCTTCTGAACAGGGGCACAGACAGTAAAATAAACACCACATGGATGTTAACTCTTCCTTATGCTATCTAAAGCTAAAACTTTTATATTTTTGACTGCAGTAATACTTAAAAAACATACCTTTTCCAACTTACATACAAATTCAACTTAAGAACAAACCTACAGAACCTATCTGTAGAACCAGGGATTTCCTGTATATGTATATCCAGGTACTTTAAAAACCAAAGTCCAGAATACATCCAGTCCCAAACATTTGGGATAAGGGAGACTCAACTTGTACTGTATTCTCTGCACGGTTGCATATATTCAAGTGGTACTTACTCTTGGGAAAATGTGGATAGGATTGAGGCTTGAAGTGGATATCACAAAGATAGTCCCTGCAGTACTTTGGACTTTAGCTCCCAGAAGCCCCGGCCAGGTGCAGGAGCAAAGGTTCTCCAACCTTGGGACATACAATGACATTCTCTGTCTGGATTAAATTTTATGAATATGGATTAAGAACATTTCGGCATTAGGCCCACCCTAAGAGGGATATATTATGAAGGTGATCGAAACAGCCAGGATTATGGCAGGGGAAGTCAAACATGTGACCCTTTAGATGTTGGAGTTCAGCTTCCATCATTCATTCCTCACCGTTGACTATACTGGTTGGGTCTACCATCTAACTTTGTGGCTCCCTTCAGAAATTATAACGGCATTAAATTGCTATATCTTCTAATGGCTAAATTTCTTTATTTAGACTTTTTTCCAAAGATTTCGTCAATGGGCAGACCTCTTGGATCCATTACTCTTACTTGCATCCAAAGTAAGTACACTGTGCATTAAATTATATCATCAGTTTGTTAGAAATAACTGCAGTTCAAGGCACTTTGGAAAACATGATATAGAATAAAAGAAAAGTGTACTCTTCCCAATTTTAGAAAACCCTCCTGTAAAAAACAGTTACTGTATATACTTGATTATAAGCTGACTCGAATATAAGCTGAGGCACCTAATTTTACCACAAAAAACTCAGAAAACGTATTGACTCGAGTATAAGCCGAGGGTGGGAAATGCAGCTGCAATGTTGGGGCAGCGCGAGAAGGGCCTTGCCAGAAGATCTTAATATTCAGGCAGGTTGGCATGAGGAGATGCAGTCAGATAGGTCAGTAGGACCTGAACCGTTTAGGGCTTTAAAGGTCAAAACCAGCACCTTGAATCAGGCCCAGAAAGGAATTGGCAGCCAGTGCAGGTGATTTAGCAAGGGGGTAGTATGCTCCTTGGGCCCAGAACCTGTTAATAACCTGGCTGCAGATCTCTGAATGAATTGAAATTTCTGGACACTCTTCAAGGGCAGTCCCATGTAGAGCCCGTTACAGTAGTCTAAATGGGATGTAACCAAGGCATGGACCACCATGGCCAAGTCTGGCTTCTCAAGATATGGTTGCAGCTGGCACATATGCTTTAATTGTGCGAAGGTCCTCCTGGCCACTGCCAACATATGAAGCTCCAGGCTTAGCAATGAGTCCATGCGGAGTCCCAGACTACGGACATGTGTCTTCAGGGAGTGTGACCGCATCCAGCACAGGTTGCCACCCTATACCCTGATCTGCCTTCCCACTGACCAGAAGACTGTATCACAATGTTATTTACTGTTTACACATCCTTCATTTTTTCCAAAACCTGTTTAGCTGGGCCTTGTCAGTCTTCAGTTTGTTTGTCCTCCTCCAGTTTGCATCAGGGTCTGGGCTGCTTCCTTGGCTTTTGGTAGAAATGTTGTAAAGCCAGTGATATTATGGAAACTGAAGTCCAAAACATTGGTACAGCCAATGTTTCTGTGCTCCTGTCTTCAGTATTCTGAGAGGAACAAGACGAGCAAGAGGAAGGGCTGCCATTTTCAGATGCAGAATCATAATTACTGCATTTGAAGAATCCTAGACCAAAGGAAAATAATAATATTCAGTTAGTATTTTGCAACAAATGTCTGAAGTTCTGGAGCAGTTCTGATGAAAGCATTGATTCTGTATGCTGATTTTCTGTTTTAAATGCTTCCCTAATGCTGTGTTTTGTATTTTTCCTGTTGAAAACAATAATAATGTAGCCCTGGTGCAGGTAGGTTAGATGAGTGATTTCGGATTTATATCTTCAAAACATAAGGTTGAAGATAAGCTACTACAAAAGGGAAGTGTATATAAAGAAGTAACTTTGCTGTGTTTCTTTTGGTGCTTATTTTGAATACAGGAGAAAATTGACAATTCCAGAATACTTTTATTGAACAAAGGAGAAAAGGCTACAGAGTCCTTACAGGACAAAAAGGTATTTGACATTCTTCTTACAGAGATAACAATATTCACATGTTTCTGTGTCACAGTGTTATTTACTTGTTACACATCCTTCATTTTTTCCAAAACCCGTTTAGCTGTGTTGACACTGAACTGGCTTGTCCACATCAAACTTGAACCTAGGTCTCCATAAGCGAAGTCCAATTCCAGTTCTTTTCAAGAAGTTCATGCATAATATCTAGATGTCGGACACCCGGGATGAATATTTAGGAATAGAGCCAGCAGTATGGCCTTACTCTTGTTTCAACCCTTGACTACCTTCTACACAACTAACACATCAACTGTATGGATGTACTTCTATGCATTGACCCTGTCTTATGCAGATGTGTTAGTTCTATTAGTTTGTGGGAAACACCAAGTGATCCATGGGAGTACAGCATTGGCATGAATTTGGGATGTCAAAATCTCGCAGTCATAATTTGAATCATGGAAATACATTGAAGATTGCATGAAACAAATGTACCTTCTGCTTCTCATGAAAAAATGTCATAGATCCATTCACTAGGCTTGTGCGTTTCAGCTGAACCTCAGCTGAGCCTCAATCCATTTCTGCTGGCCAGATTCCGGTATCCGGTTCTGAAATATCGCAAAATGTTCTTAAAGGAATGAAAGAGTAACATTGAAAACGTGCTCTTTACACATCGAAAAGTAATATTGTTTCTATTTGTTATGTTACATTTGAATTGTGTCATCCCTTGTTAAAAACAGTATGCTAGAAGTAATGACTTTATTTGTGAGCCCTGATCTAGATGTAGATATAGTTGTTTGTTGGCTGTGGTTGCAAACATGTTTAGAAATAGTTCTGGGAAACTTAAATTAAGGACATTCTGAAATATTTCTAAAATCCTGATTTCTAATTGCTTAGGTAAAAGAAGCTTGGCAACTAAGTCTGGTAAGTTTTCATAAAATATTTAAGAATTTTTTAACTTATATTTTCCCCTATCTTTTAAACATGTTTTTCTAATCCTTTGTGTCTGCTTTTCTTTCCGAAGTCCTCTGTACACTCTGGCAGTGGTGATACTATTCCTGCTGTATTTAGGCCAACAGGTCAGTATCCACTTTTGCTGTAAACCTCTGTATAACTACATTTATGGTTTGTTATGTGGATAATAACCATACTGTTCAGTGTGTGAATCATAGCATTGGGACTCATGCTGGTGGCTATTCGAACACCTTTATTACCAGCAACATGTAACCTGCAAGAATTGTTGCATGATCCTTGAATGTGAAGGTCATGTATCCTTCTTGCATTATTTTCTCTAATGCCCACACACCAGCCTCCCTTTCTAAGGCCCATTGTAATGTACGTAAATATTTTATGTTAATATTTACAAAAAAAATCAGTGAAACAGTGAGTCCACATAAAGCGAACCACGAAGTAGCATGGGAACACTGCACTGTTATTGCTTACTTTATACTTTTCTGAAAGCCTGGTAATTTTTGAAGTGTTGAAATGCAGTCAAGCACCCCTTATTCTGAAATTCAGCCTTGTCTATAATATTGCTTTTAGGTTATGTGTATAAGATGAATATGAAGCATAAGTGAATTTAGTCTTTAGACCTGGCTTCCGCCTCCAACATATCTCATTCTATATGTATATACAAATACAGGTGTTCCAAAATCTGAAAAATTTGAAATCCAAACATTTTGGTCCAGGGATACTTACCCTGTACTTGCTTTGCAGCTTTCTTTGTAAAAGGAGCTGTTTAAAAGATTGAATCGAAGGGCTTTTTTGCATTGGGTTGCTATGAGTTTTCTGGGCTGTGTTGCCAGAAGCACTCTCTCCTGACGTTTTGCCAACATCTATGGCAGGCTTCCTCAGAGGGGTCTGTTGGGAACTAGGCAAGTGAGGTTTATATATCTGTGGAATGTCCAGGATGGAAGAAAGAACTCTTGTCTGCTTGAGGCAAGTGCGAATGTTGCAATTTGTCACCTTGATTAGCATTTAATGGCCTGCGGTTTCAAGGCTTGGCTGGTTGCTGCCTGGGGGAATCCTTTGTTGGGAGGTGTCAGCTGACCCTGATTCATTCTTGTCTGGAATTCCCCTGCTTCTTGAGTCTTGCTCTTTATTTACTGTTTTGATTTTAGATTTTTTAAAAATACTTTTAGCCAGATTTTGTTCATTTTCATTGTTTCCTCTTTTCTGCTGAAATTGTCCACATGCTTGTGGATTTCAATGACTTCTCTCTTTTTTGCATTGTTTACCCACATGAGGAATTAATTTCTAAACTGACTCAAATTTCGGATGATCTGAAGAAATGCCTCTTATTTTGTGTAAGATAATTCCAGAAATGGAATTCTTTGAAAGTAGGAAGTCATCCTATAAATGGCAATACACAAATAGGTAATGTAGAACTTTCTGATTCATGATTTACTCTATGTGATGCCTAGTATTTTGAACTCTCCTAAAACGGCAATACTTGAGTTTTGTTTTGTTAGATTGTTGTTTTGGAGAGAAACACTCGGATTAATCAACATATTTTGCACCACACAGTCAAGCTCAACATTTACTCAGCTCGTAAAATACACCCATCTCCATGTATTTGGTTCTGTCTGGCTTTGATGTTGGACTGTATGCTGTTTGGATTTGCTCCTGGTGGCTAAACTTTATTTGTGTTTGTGAAATACAGAGCCAACATAACTTAAAACCAAATCCACATAGGCATACCTTTCATACAGGGTCCTTCTTCAGTTACCTGGCATAACCTTTGCTTCCTTTTAGTGCAAACCACTTTACCACAGGTCTCCTTTGAGAACAGTTGTCCTTAGAGCTGTAGCTTCCAATTAGTTTTCTTGCTAGGGTCACCCTGCCCTTTGAGCCGAACTATGCACTTCAATTTCATCAACCTCAGCTTGAGAAACAAAATCAAATATTGATCTGTAGTTTTTAAGTATGTTATGTTTGTTGTTTTTTTCTGCAAAAAGTAATAAAAATCATTTATATTAGAAACAAAATCAGGATTTATGCTTTGTTGGAGTTCCTGGTGTTCATTTTGTGCTTGTTACTGTTAATCCCCCAAGAACAATTTATTTTATTGCATTCATAAACATGGCTTTCTCCTTCTCTCTCTCCCTCTCTTTAAAGCTTTCCTGCCCATTATTGCTCCACTGGTGAGTATTGATGGAAGTTTCCAGAGGGTTTGTAGGCAATTAAATTGCTAGTGATTTTTTGCTATGTTGTAGAAACTACAGTTTCAGTAGGTGGCACATTAAAGGCAAACTCCCCCTGAATAAATTTTGTTAAGAAAATCCAGTGGTGAGTTCATCTTAAAGCAGATATTCCCAAACCTTTTTAGCCGTGGAGCCCCAATAAATATTAATATATAATATATGATATTATATATAATGTATATATATCAGGCATAGACGCCCCAGTGGTAGCTGGATGGAAAATGTTTGTGTAAACCAGTGTTTTTCAACCTGGGGGTCGGGACCCCTGGAGGGGTCACGAGGGGGTGTAGAGCGGTCACCAAAAACCATCAGAAAACACAGTTTTTCTATTAGTCATGGGAGTTCTGTGTGGGAAGTTTGGCCCAATTCTATTATTGGTGGGGTTCAGAATGCTGTTTGATTGTAGGTTAACTATAAATCCCAGCAACTACAACACCCAAGTGACAAAATCAATCCCCCCCCCCCTCCACCCCCACCAGTATTCAAATTTGGGCATATTGGGTATTTGTGTCAAATTTGGTCCAGTAAATTAAAATACATCCTACATATCAGATATTTACATTACAATTCATAACAGTAGCAAAAATTATAGTTATGAAGTAGCAGTTAAGGTAATTTTATGGTTGGGGGTCACCACAACATGAGGAACTGTATTAAGGGGTCGCAGCATTAGGAAGGTTGCGAAATACTGGTGTAAACTAATTCACACAGTGCAAAAAAAGAAAAAGAAAGAAAAGAAAGAACAATACGATATTTAAAATAAAAAATTAAGGCTGAACAGGGTACATTTTTATTTATTTGTTTGTTTCATATACTTGTACCCCCCCCCCTTCTCACCCCCGAGGGGGGACTCGGGGCGGCCTCATAGGAAACACCATTCAGTGCCATCATAATGATAAGAACTATCAACAAATTCATTAAAACAAAACATTAAACAGTTGTTAAAACACACCAATTAAAATCTGGGTCCGGGTCAATTCATTGTCACTTCGAAATTGCTTATGTCTTCTTCATATAAGCCGCTGTTCAGTGGTCAAATGCAAGGTCCCACAGCCAAGTCTTGAGTTTCCTTCTAAAGGATAGGAGGGAGGTGGCCAGTCTGATGTCTTTGGGGAGGGAATTGCACAGACGGGGAGCCACTGTTGAGAAGGCCCTGTCTCTCGTCTCCACCAATTGCATTTGCGACGGTGGTGGGATCGAGAGCAGGGCCTTTCCAGATGATCTTAAACTTCGTGATGATTTGTAGTATAGGGTTGCAGCCGGTGTTGGACAGGGTTAGACTCCCCCTGAAGACACGGGTTAGCAGCTTGGGAGTTCTCCTGGATTCATCAGGTTTCAGCAGTGACCAGTGGAACTTTTGCATAATTAAAACTTGTGTACCAGTTGCGTACATACCTTGGAAAGTCAGATTTGGTCACGGTAGTCCACACTCTGGTTACATCCCATATAGATTACTGCAACGTGCTCTATGTGGGGTTGCCTTTGCAGACTGTTTGGAAGTTCCAATTGGCCCAACAGGTGGCAGCCAGACTGCTCACCAAAGCGGGGTACAGAGAGCATACAGCCAGCTCCACTGGCTGTCAGACTGTTACCAAGCTCAATTCAAAGTGCCCGCTTTAGCCTGTTGAGCCCTAAATGGTTTTGGCCCAGCTTACCTGTCTGAACATATCTCTCTCTATGTTCCATCTGAAGATTAGGAAGAACTTCCTGACTGTGAGAGCTGTTCAGCAGTGGAACTCTCTGTCCCGTAGTGTGGTGGAGGCTCTTTGGGGGCTTCTTCTTTGGAGGCTTTTAAGCAGAGGCTGGATGGCCATCTCTCAGGGGTGCCTTGAATGCGATTTTCCTGCTTCTTGGCAGGGGGTTGGACTGGGTGGCTCACGAGGTCTCTTCCAACTCTGAGATTAAGATCATCTGGGGAGGCCCTGATCTTGTTCCCACCTTTCTCGCAGGTGCAACTGGTGGGGGCGAGAGACCAGTCTTCTCAGTGGTGGCTCCTTGGCTATGGAACTCCCTCCCCAACAAAATTAGACCAGTGCCCTCCCGCTTGGCCTTCAGAAAATAAGTAAAAACCTGGCTGTTGGACTAAGCCTTTGAGCAGTAAGCAATACAAGGAATGATCAGGATTATGTGCAATAGATATTGATATTTGGAATGGCCCTGGACAAGGATTGTTGAATTGTGTGATTTTAACATTTATATTAATATGCTTTAAACGCCACATTTAATGTTTAAATGTAGTTGCATTTTTACTGATTCAATTGATAGCTGTGTGTTATTATTGTTTTATGTGAGGTTTTTATGTATGTGAGGCATGGAATTTTGCCATATATATGTTGGAAACCACTTCGAGTCCATTCCTTCCTCCTTCCCGGGTGAGAAAAGTGGTACACAAATGAAGTAAATAAATAAATAAAATGAATAACAATTTTAACCAACTTAACAGTATTTCAGTGGAAGATCCCCAGTGCCATTCAGTCCAACCCCCTTCTGCCATGCAGAAAAGGCACAATAAAAACACCTCCAACAGATGGCCATCCGGCCTTTGTGATTATGTTAATGATAATGACAATGATGATGATGATGATGATGATGATGATGATGATGATAATAATAATAATAGCAGAAACCCCAGGTGCCAACCAATCCAACCCCCTTCTGCCATGCAGGAAAAACACAGTCAAAGCACCCCCTGAGAAGTGGAATAAGCAAATAATGTGTGTAGGGGGCTCCTGTGCAGTGAAAAAAAGAGTCTGGGCAAAGAGGGAATTTGGGGAAAAGGGTCTGGCTGGCAAAAAAAAGAGTCGGCAGCGGGGGAGGATGGCAGCTCAAAACTGCATTTCTCAGGAGGAAAGAGGTGGTGGCGGGAAGCAGCATGGTGCCGCTGAGCCCCTCATTGTCAGCCATGGAGCCTCAAGGAATCCACAGAGCAGTTTGAGAGCCCCTGCCTTAGAGGATTGCCATAAATTGGAAATGACTTGAAGGCAAAAAACACATACCATCATCAGAGGGCAGATAGCTGCCCAACAAAATCTATCTACTTTCTTCCAGTGAGAAAAAGGCTCACTGAAGGCAGATGGGAGACCCCAAGACAGGATTTCATGTAGTCTTTGGAAACAAAAAAGATTGTGTACTCCTGCTTTATGTGGCACAACAAAACATAAGATTATCATCTCCATTGTCTTGAATGGTTGATATTGACGTGTAGTTTTCTGAAAATGCCTGGACCTCCTTTCATCATGAAATTCTTCTTCCTAGGTCATTGCTACTTCATTACTACACAGAGGAAATACCCAAACATTTATTTCACAGGTAACAAAAAGCCTTTTTTGTTTTGACATATCACTATGTTGTTAATTAATGAATTTACTAAGTATGTGTTTTGCAATGTCTTTTTTTTCAGTACCTTTTCCATTCGTACATTGGTGGGTTCACCTTGGCAAATGGGAATTATTCTGAAACAGAAGCAAGCGAGAATGCTCCCGAAAAGGTTGAAGAATGTGTTATTTTTAACGTACAAGAAGGCACAAGTTGTCTCTGCCTTGGGATGGATGAATACACTCTTATTTGTTTGATTTTTTGCTTTTAGGCATTTTTCTTCAAGCAGACGCTTATCAGCGTTGGAGCCATCACATATTCTGCCTGCGTGGGAGTATGTATTTCTCAGTTTCTCTTTGAATATACGGTACCACCTCTGTATCTGTGGGGAAAGCATTTTGGACTTACTATGGAAATGGCAAACCATGGATAATAGTGAACAAGTTCTGCTGGGCTCATTCTGGAAGACTTATACAATTTTTGGAACAGTTTCCTGTGAATTTTCTAGGTCCTCCAGGCTCTAGAAGTTACTCTGTAGTACCTTCTAGTGGAAATATACCATAGAATTAGCTGGAGGTGCAATAAAATTCTTAGAGAAGCAATATTTTGTCAGATGTGAGTAGGAGAAACCATGGGTACCAGTCTCACAAAACAAAAGGTCATACTGCATCCTTTAACATACCTTTGGCTTTGGCAGTCTAGGCATTGTTTGGCTTTTACCCTGACATATCTTAAGCATACCAGGTTGGAGAAGCCAGTCTTGAGAATATCTGTAGAATGGAGAAAGAAATAGCTTGTTTCTGAAAACATGCAAAAGGGCCTCTATGCCTGCTTTGGTATTGAGTGAGACCTTCAATATTCTCTCCACTTTCTTTTGTGCTGCATTACTTCTTGCTCAGAAGTCTAGAAGGTAGGAATGGGAAAGCTGCAAATCCATCATAGGATGACAAACCTTTTTTCATACTTGTTCCTTCAGGGATAATCAGTAGAGGTCCACAAGCCCAAAGTCACATTTTTTTCCTCTTTCTTTCTCACCTACATGAACACTCTTTCTACTTCCTCACCCGGAGCCCCCGGTGGCGCAGTGGGTTAAACCCGTATGCCGGCAGGACTGAAGACCGATAGGTCGCAGGTTCGAATCCGGGGAGAGTGCGGATTAGCTCCCTCTGTCAGCTCCAGTTCTTCATGCAGGGACATGAGCGAAGCCTCCCACAAGGATGGTAAAACATCAAAAAACATCCGGGCGTCCCCTGGGCAACATCCTTGCAGACGGCCAATTCTCTCACACCAGAAGCGACTTGCAGTTTCTCAAGTTGCTCCTGACATGACAAAAAAAAAAAAAAACCTCCTCACCCAAGTCATCACTGAGGAAGGAGATACTTATTATTACCGAGATCTGATCATTTACAGAGAACTTTTGAAATGAGATTGGAGTCTTCAGATTGCCCATCTTGATACACACAGTATTTCAGGTGTTGAACCTAACATGCAAAGTAGAAAATGTTAATTTTCAACCTCTTTTGAAGGAAAACGAGATATACAGCCATACCTCCATGTTCTCTGGGGTTAGAGGTGCAGGACCTCTGTGGAAATGGGAAAACCACATTTAAAAAAAGAGTATCTTGTTTTAATCTGAGATGACAGTTCTCTAGAAATCTAGGCTCTCCAGCACAACTCTTAAGCTAAATTTCCATGGGACATTTACCATACAATCACACTGGAGGATCTAGAGATTCCCAGAGAAGCATTATTTCCAGGATTCACTGGATCTGTGGTGTCCAGCCTTTGATCCTCCAGGTATTTTGGACTTAAGCTCCCAGAATCCTTGAGATGTGGACAATCTGCCCAAAACTTCTGGGGAGCTGGAGTCCCAAACACCTGGAGGACCAAAGTTTGTACACCACTGATCTAGGTCCTTTACCATAACTGAAGTCAACTTCCAGCAGAAGTTGACCATAGAGTTGCACAAGAGGACCTACATATTTTAGAGGGAACATTTTATTTGTGTCTGTGAATAATCAAATCTGTAAAAGTCAGACCTGCCAATGTGAAAAGCCAATTTTATAAATATATGAAGTACAGTCAGAAGACCACTTTATCAGTTGTCTGTAAGAATTGGTGGGAAAGCAGTTCAATAGCTATGGATTTGTAAACAAAAATAAGTAACCTTGGCTTGGATATAGAAGTATATTGAGTTCTATTTGGGTATAATTCAATGGTACATGATGCCTGAGGTTGTATTCAGCAATTCTGCCTGTCACTGTTGTGTGTTGGTTCCATCGCCTATCTTTCTGTTTCCAGTGGGAATGTCAGAAGTGGGTATTTTTAATGTGTTTACCCAAACACACTTTGGATCCTTCTTCAGATCTTACAGCTCAATGTATGATGATTGGTGGTGGAATTGACCCTTATAGGATACAGATGGTGAGGTGAACAGAAAGGCTACTTTCTCTCCACAAATACAAATGTCCTAAAACTAGAAAACAGTTTAGTTGTAGTTAGTCCTCCGTGAAATCAGTGAGACTTACGTCCTGGCTTAATTGTCCCTTTGATTTTCAGTAGTACAATCATTCAGTTAACTTGCAGTATGTTTAGTAATATATTAGAAATATGGAGCAAATACAGGAGAAAGTTATTAGCAGATGGTTCAACAATAACCCCAATTATAATGAAAAGGAAATTTCAATTTTTTTTAATATAATGGATAAAAATTAAAGGGGAAAAACTTAAGATAAAATAGGGGATTGGATAAAGGTTGGAATGAAGAAGGAAGTGGTTATGGAAGAATTTAGAGAAATAAAATTGACATGGTTCCGTTGCTTACAATTACATCAATGGTTCAAAAATTGGGTAAAAAATAATAAAAATGGAAGTAAGCTTAACCAATTCTTAAAAATAATACAAAATGGGATATAGAGGAACACAACATTTGAAACAAATAACTAGTAAAGTGTATAAGATAATAATTGAAATAAACAAAGGAAAAATAAAGAATAACACCCTCAAGAAGTTCTGGGAAGAAGATTTAAGGATGAAAATAAATGAAACGGAGTGGGCACAATTATGGGGACAAAGACATTTGAAAAATCTAACAGTACAGGTTAAAGAAAATTACTATAAGTTAATATGAAAATGATATCTAACATCAATAAGAATAGCAAATATAAATAAAGAATCGGGAACATATATACATATGTGGTGGCATTGAAAATATGTAATTAATTTTGGGGGAAAGTATTTCGAGAGATAGAGGATATAATGAACATTAAAATAGAAATGAGTCATATTATAGCTTTGTTATCATTATATAATAATAAACAGCTGAAAAAAGAGGATAAAGATGCAATAACCAACTTATTAACAATAGCAAGACTGCCCATAGCAAGGAATTGGAAAAGGGAAATAAATATACAAATAGAAGAGTGGTATAAGGAAGTATGAAAATTGGCAATAAATGATAAGCTGACATGTAAATTAAAAGTTACAAGAGGGATGTGGAAACAAAGTGATTTTGATGATGTATGGAGAAAATTTATTGGAAAATGATTCAAAAAGAAAGATGGAAAGTTACCTCCACAAAAGAAAATGAAATTTTGGACAGATGAGTATATAAAAGGAGTGACTGGAGGGGAGGGACGATACATGGTGGTGAGGGATAGCAAATATGTATAAACGTAAAAATAACAGTAGATGCCAAAAGTTAATGTATTGTAAATTGTATTGAATATTACATGTCTGCTGTAAAACAAATGTAAAAAAAATTCTGCAGTAAGAACCCAACTCTCAGAATTCTGGTCTTTATGTTTCTTCATCATATTCTTGCTTTCTTTATGACATTTTCTTTTGTGGTGTTCTGTTTTATGAGTGGCGTGAAAAACTACATGCTTGTTTAACACATCCTGTTCTTCTAGACTCTTCCTCACTACTTAATGCTGCGCTATAAACCACAGAACCCTTCTATACAATTTCTCTTCAGGAATGCGATACCCGGTCCACTTACAGGTGAGTGGGTGAGAAGCACATAGTGGGTAGAAGATTGCTTTTTGACTCCTTTATGATAAGGCGTAGGAAGCTTGGGGGGCGCAAGGGGGTTTTAGAGGGGTCGCCAAAGACCATCAGAAAACATTTATCTTAGGAACCCCTTTGGCAGAGAAGGCTGAAGATCTCTCCATCTGTCTTTTTCTTCCTTTTTGGAAGCAGATGGCAAATCCTCCCACCAAGAGCTCTCCTCCACTGTGATTGGCCGGCCTCTCAGCCAAGGGGAGGGCATGGGGGTTGTGTGTGGGAAGTTTGGCCCAATTCGATCATTGGTGGAATTCAGAATGTTCTTTGATTGTAGGTGAACTACAATTCTCAAATGAGAAAATCATTCTGCTTCCAACACCATTAGTATTCAAATTTGGGCGTATTGGATATTTCTGGCAAATTTGGTCCAGTAAATGAAAATACATCCTGCATATAAGATATTTACATTACGATTCATAACAGTAGCAAAATTACAGTTGTGAAGTAGCGATGAAAATATTTTTATGGTTGAAGGTCACCATAACATAAGGTACTGAATTAAGGGGTCGTGGCATTAGAAAGGTTGAGAACCACTGCGTTAGTGGTTTTCCTCAGTTATGCTCCTTTAATTCCAGCCAGGATAATTGCTCCTCAGCATGTAAAGTTTTAGCTTCTTTTCCCTCTGCATTTTATGTTTTTGTCAAAATAGCAAAATATCCTAAACCTCTTAGGATGATTTAGCAGTGTATTCCAGAAATCTTCTGAGGGAGCTGTGTCACAGGGGGAAAATAAATCAACGAAAAATGTGGCCTGTTTACTATGAAGTCTGTACAGGTTTGAGAATTGGACACTGACTCTGGAATCCAGGTTTTAAATACCTTCTTGTCTATGAAACCCACTGGATGGCCTTGGATAAATCAAACTTTCCCAGACCAAGAGGAGGCAGTGGCAAACCACTTCCAAACAAATCTTGCCAAGGAAACTCTGTGATAGTTTCAGCTTAGGGTTGCCTTAGGTTGGAAACAACTCGAAGCAACACAACAACAACGTTTCCAATAGCAAAAGATTCCCATACATTTTACTGTGTTAAGATTCAGTCTGGGGCTTGGTGATTGATAGACCTTTTCCATGCTTCCTGTGAGCTGCAAACATAACTGTATCAGTTGTGCTGCCTATGATTTGGAATTCAGGACTGCTTTCTGGGCTCCTATCACCTAGAAATGCCTCCTTTGCTAGCACCAGTATTTTAGCAAAATTTCCACCTTCCTCTCTCTGTGTGAATCACGAAATTGAAATCTTTGCTTTCTCTGCAGTATTTGGGCTCAGTTCTAGTTGTTAAAAAACAACTGAAAACCTACTTATGCTCACTAGCATATGGAGAGGAGGGGGTTAGATAACAAGAGATTACTACCGGGCCCCAGTGGAGAACTATTCCATATTTGGACTTTCCTAGTCCACGCCTCTTCACATCAGAAGCGACTTGGATTTTCTCAAGTTGCTCCTGACATGAAAAAAAAAGTCCTCGCCAGCCCAATGACCATCGTTTGACTACCCAACCAACCCACACTGTTTTGTGAACTCTATTTGGCTGTTGTAAATGAATGTGGATGTTTGTTTAGAATTTCTGTCATTATATAATTTTGTGTAGTTTTATTCAGGAACATAGTGCAATGCACCATATCCACAGCTCTGCTTCTCTCTCTTTCCACCCCAGATTGAAAGCCCTGAGAGCTCATACTACTATTATTCAATGGCTTTATCCAGGCATTTTGGATCAAGAATACTCAATGCTTCCCTGAATAACAAATCTTTCTTTCTGTTTCATTACAGCCATTCTGTGTGCATTTAATGTAACTGTAATCAGGTCCATGGAGTTTGAGGATGGGATTAAGGTAATGGATAGCAAAGGCAGAGTCGTCGGCGTGTCCCAGAAAGCAGGAGAAAAGGTCAGCGGAGGAATTCATTCCTTGATTCTACCCCATTGCAACAATCCATTCTAACTCATGTTGTCCATCCTGAATGACATCATCAGCCAACCATGAAATTTTTAGCTCTGTTTCAGTCACTTTTTGGGATGGAAGGATAATCTTAGGGTACATTTACAGTGTGGAGCCATGACGCCATTTTAACTACCATGACTTTATGCTGTGGTATCCCAGATTTGTAGTTTGGTGAAGGATGGCTTTTTTTTGGCAGCTCACATGATTTCATAGCATTGAGCCATGGCAGTTGAAGAGGTGTGAAACTGCATTAATTCTGCAGTGTAGATGCACCCTTGGTCTACCACCCACATATCCAGAATTCTCCTTCTTTTCTGTCTAATGAACTGCCCTCTATGACTTTGGTGTCAAGAAGTGCACTTATCTGGTTCTTCCTTTTCTTCTTTCTGTCCACACCTCCTTGGGACACTTTCTCAACCTCTCACCACCATTCCTTTTGCACATGACTTCCCATTTTCTCTGAATTTCTATTCATTTGCCCTGGCAGGACAGCTTCCTTTGAAAAAGGGAAGCCTGCTCAATGAGAATAATTTTCCCCCATTTTGTGGTAAAATGTCTCAAATTCCACAGCAACATCATGGTTTTGGTTGCTTTCTCTGTATCGGATCATGTGTGTGTTTGCTAAGGAGACAGGCTCTGGAGATTACTTCCCATCTGTCCCAGTTGATGGTCCTTTACACCACATGCATCCAGATGGACCATAGCATGGGATGGTGGGAGCTTACCCTCAAAATTAGTAGGGACACTCCCCTGTTCCAGTAAAGAGCTACCTTTGCATGCATTTATGAAATGCCATCCATATAATGGAAACACAGATGATAAAGTCCTCCACATTCTGCTTAGAGATCAAAAGTTACTTTTTTAGATTCTCAGATTGTGGCAGTTGTAGTCCAGAAATCAACTTTTCAAGCTCTAGTGTATCTCTCATAGTGAAGAACACTAAAGACTGTCTGTAAAAAAAGACTATAGGACAAGATATAGATCTAAATATACTATATATACTTGAGTATAAGCCAAGTTTTTTGGCTCTTTTTTTAGGCTGAAGAAGTTCTCCTTGGCTTATAATCGAGTTAAGGTTATTTCTTATTTTCCTCTGTTGTTGTTATTATTTTTATTACATTTATTATTTTACTCTGTTTATTATTATTATTATTATTATTATTATTATTACATTTACACTATTTTACTCTATTATTATTACATTTATTATTTTACTTTATTGTTATTACATTTATTATTTTACTCTATTTACTGTAATTACATTTCCATTATTTTACTCTATTATTATTTTATCACATTTATTATTTTACTCTGTTTATTATTATTATTATTACATTTACACTTTTATTCTATTATTATTACATTTATTATTTTACTCTATTATTTACTGTTATTATTACATTTCCATTATTTTACGCTATTATTATTTTTATCACATTTATTATTTTACTCTATAATTTCTGGAAGGATATGTAAGCACATTTACACTGAAGAAGCTTAGAATAATGGTTTAATCAGAGTTGGACAGTCTTATCTTAAATTATAGTTTTATGTAAATATTCAAAAACATTTGAGCTACTGATGTCTCAATTAATGTAATTTTATTGGTATCTATTTTTATTTTGAAATTTACCAGTAGCTGCTGTATTTCCCACCGTCAGCTTATACTCGAATCAATGTTTTCCCAGTTTTTTGGGGTAAATTTAGGCTTATATTCAGGTCGACTTATTCTCAAGTTTATATGGTAATATATACGAGTAAGTCTTGCCATAATATTCCACATAGTTGTCAGTAAACCTATGTGAGACTCTTCTTGTAAAATGAATCTAAAGAAAACCATGATCTTTTGTTTGGCTTTTCTATGAAAATGTATGTGCACTGTTTGAGAATGTTGTTGTTAATTTTAATTTTTATCTGTCCGTGTGTGTTTCTGTTTCTTGCCACTCTCTAGGCTGTGAAAGAAACAGCATTCTCCAGAGCACTTCTGTTTGGCACAGCATTATTTATTCCGGACATCATGTTGCATTTTCTGAAACGGTAAGGCATTGTCAGAATAGGTTTCTGAATAAAATGAATCCCAAGTGAAGAAAAGTAAAGATCCCATTCATGTGCTAGCACTTGTTCTTTGTGTAACAGCCATATGAGCCACAAACCAGCCTCTTCATTCTAGCTGGACTGTGGTGATTGTCGTACTTCTGGCTCTCAAGAGAACTTTTGCTAAGTGATGCTTCTTGAGATCAGGGAAGAGGGCTTCATTTTAGATGTGAAAGCAGAGTCATTCCATTTTCATTCTCTGCATATTTATTTCTGCAAAATGTTAGGCTTTTTAGGAAAACGGAGGGTTCCTTCAGCAGCCTTTCAAATACAACTGGCAATATAGATTCAGAAGTGAGAGATGTCCTAGATTAAACCTTTGATCTTTTAGAACATCTGCTGCTTTGTCCAAATGTCTGGAGATATGAGGCAATCTTCCCACAATGTTGAGCTTGCGATAGCAGCTCAGACTGTCATTGCACACTTTCTAGTTGTTTCTACCAAGGCTGGATATTTTCAGAGAGAGATCTGGCAACTGTTGCCAGGAATAACAAGGGACCCTGATACAAAAATTCTTTCAAAAGCACGAAAAGACGTTGCAGTGGAACATTAGTGCTCGTGCTTAATCAAAACTAACAACTGAACTGAAAAGAATATCAAATTTGTGAAAGAACTCTGTGTTATCCATTTTTATTGTGTTTTTTCCAATTCAGTACCCAAAATACATTGCAAACAGCAACAGTACTGAAGTACTGTATATGCTTGAATATAAGCTGAGTTTTTAGCCCGTTTAAGGCTGAAAAGGCCTCCCTCGGCTTATTCTCGAGTCAAAGTTATTTATTATTTTATTCTGTTATTATTATTTTATTGCATTTATTATTTTACTCTGTTTATTATTATTGGAGCCCCTGGTGGCACAGTGAGTTAAACCACTGAGCTGCTGAACTTCCTAATCAAAAGGTCAGAGGTTTGAATCTGGAGAGGGGCGCGAACTTCCCAGCTTCTGCCAACCTAGCAGTTTGAAAACATGCAAATGTGAGTAGATCAATAGGTACTGCTC